TAGCTTATTACTGCTGAGATTTTACATTTCTATTGTGTTTAAGCAAAAAGTCGTGGTCCCTCTGAGGAACACTAGGAAAATTAAGGTTCGAATTTCGACTTGAAACTTTGTACAGAGATAGATCACAACGAAAATAGTTTATTGTGAAAGTTTCAGATCTTTTGATTGCTCTTAGTCTGAAATAATAACATCGGAATCTGCTTACGTACATGAGCGCTTTTACCATAGCTGCATCTTAGGATATGAATAACGAACAGACCTGAAACTTTCACAATAAACTATTCTCATTGAGGTCTATCTCTATGCAAAGTTTCAAATCGAAATTCGAAAGTCAGTTTTCCTAATGTTCCTGAGGGGAACTACGACTTTTTTTCTTACACATACAGTAGAAATGCAATATCTCGGCAGTAATAAGCTAGCAGCACGTATTTTTTTCAGAGTATTTATAGATCATTAGAGCCTACATGGTGCACATACGCTCGACTCAGAAGCGATGTGACAGTTGGGAATGTTCCCTCGTTAGAATACTTTCATGTAACGTTAAATATTTACAAAATTACTAATCAATGGTGAAGGTTCTATTAGTAGCTAATCTTCTAACTATCAATTACTTCGCTCAGCCTTTTCTCTCTCTCTGTTTTGCTACTCTGAATAACGTGCTTCTTTTTCTTTCTAAAGCTCTTTTTTTTTTCATTTTAATCCTCATGTTTATGTGCTTCAATATTTTCAATAAATACTTTATATAAAACTAAGGCGAAGCTTTGTAAATTTATCGTGGTGGTTGTTTTACAAGCTAATAAGAAAAGATAGAATACTGCAAGATTTTGACTTCATGTATCTTTTGAATCTCATTAACAGTGGTATAACTACAGCTGATAGCTATGGAAGCGAAGCTTTATGTTTTGTTTAATCTGATGATGAATAAAAAGGTCCGACAAAAATTATTCGCCTTTTTTTTCTTTTTCAAATATTGCAATTAAAAAAGTAAATAGTTCTAAAGTTTCTATCAGAAACTGCGATGCTAGATGTATGTAGAATATCTTAGATCAGCATGCTGTTTTCTAGAGTAGATGTGTCATTTGAATTTGAATACAAATGAAGATTTCAAAAAAAAAATGAGGACGATAGGCAACAAAAACAGAAAAGCATTATTCTCATTATAAATTTTAATTCAAATATCGTGCTGATAGAAATATTACATGTTACTGCTCACATAGGCGACGCAGGGATATTTTTGTATGCTGACTCTCAGCTTGAGCGCATGGGTCCCAGATGAAACTTATGACGAGTAATATTGGACCCAAATGATGAGTTTCTATAAAAAAAAATTTGTGATCCGAGCTTACAAAAAAAAGTTTTTTTCCTGTTGCTATCCCAAAACTTTTAAAATTCTTTTCGTAGTATTCCACCTTTTAGAATTTAATAGTAAGCTATATCGAATTTCATCGACAGATTTCAAATTTCATCTAAAAATATGCATACATTCAAGAGTTATGACGTTTTGAATTTTTGCTAATTATTAGAACATTTTAGCAAAAATTCAAAACTTTATAACTCTTGAGCGGATGCATATTTTTAGATGAAATTTGAAATCTGTCGATGAAATTCGATGTAGCTTTCTATTAAATTCTAAAAGGTGGAATACTACGAAAATAATTTTAAAAGTTTTGGGGTAGCAATAGGAAAAAAATTTGTTTTTGCAAACTCTGATCACAAATTTTTTTTTATAGAAACTCATCATTTGAGTTCAATATTACTTCCCATAAGTTTTATCTGGGACCCATGCTCTCAAGCTGAGAACCAGCATACAAAAATATCCTTGCGCCGCCTATGGTTATAGGCCTTATCAAAAATGATTTATTTTAATCTAGAAGCTCAGCTAAACCCGTACTTTTGTAGTCGACACAAGCAAATGGCATTGTCAGTTGATGTGCTAGTAACTATGCGGACTTTTATTAGAGTTTTCAATGTGTATGACGCGTTTCCACGCTAGTGTCACGGATGTATTCTCTATGTTGATCCTCTCAGCTTACAGAAGATAATCTCTTGTCTTGGAACGTGTGGATGCTGCTGTCTTAGTGTGGTTTATGTAGGTTTTCGTTGGGTATTACTATGTGGGTATCGGTTTGATTGAATGAATTTATGGCAGAAAGTATCACACAGACACGTATGGCATTGTGCAGAACGACACTGATGCGAATATAAATATCCACAATCACACGCAACCTTGTTCGAACCTTGGATACTAGGTTTTTTTTAGCGTTGTAGAGCAGTATATAATACCGAAACAATCAAATATTCAGTCGAGAGTCAAGCGAGTCACACAGACGAGCGTTACTTGTTATCATAAGCCTATGATTATAGCACGTTTTCTAATGGCAAATGCACTTCATAAGTTTTCTTTCAAATAATAATTTCAATTCATTATGATTATCTTTTATTTTAATAGATCAATTATTTGAACATCATAACCTAAATGCTAGTACACGTTTAATAATTGGTTATATTGGTTTAATAAAAAAATTTTATTCAATTACTGGGTTTAAATATCTAAGAATTTCAATCGTCGTCAAACAATAATCAACAATCAATCAATAAATAGAAGTAAAAATATTGATACAAATGAACAACATCTTTCAATCAGTATTCGACAAATAATGAATGATTTTATTTTCAATGTAAATCTGTTTTTTAGTGTGTTGATATGGTATGTTCTATTTGTTTACAACATAATGATCATAATGTTATATAAAGTTCATTGGAAACACTTGAAATTATACTTAAATATTCAAATTTATTTGATTTTTATAAATTATTAATTTGAACTCGAATTGGATCTGTAGGATAAACTCGCATTAGTCAAGCATTAACAACAGGTAAATATTGAGAAAAAAAAACGAGTTTTTTTATTTGTATTTCTTTTTCTAAAGCAATAGCTTATCCAACATATCAACGTTGATTTATCGAAATTAATGAACAACAAGATATTTTAGTAAATGAAGTGAATGATGAATTGAACTCAACATCAATGATTAATAATGAAAACCGAACATCAGCTGCTAAAATTTGTTCAACAGTTTATTTCAAAGTATGCGATATCAAAACAAAGCAATTATATTGTTTTTTATTCCGGTGAAATATATACCCAATATGGGTGGTGCGATAAAAAGTGATGATGAATCACGCATTAGTATTCAATGTGCTACACTAACATGTCTATCGGATTTATCAACAATTGATCAATTTGTATTTTTTGATTCATTTGATTATCCTACTGAAAATATGTTTAATTCTTCTTGAAAATGTATGAAAATGAATATTAGCTATACTTTTAGTTAAAAGTATTTCCCTGGTTATGAAGAATGTCTTAAACTAGTGGCATGACGAGGATTGTAACAGAAGGAGGGCTTAGATGAATGGGATCAATCTGGTGAAGCGGCTTGCGGCACAATTTAATTGATGTCGCTTCAGTTGGTTAAAGTCTCAAAGTTTTAGTAAAAGTTATGTGCTGGATACGAAAATTGCACTATTAAATTGTTGAAATAAAACGATATGAAACATGTATACTGGAATCTGAAAATTCAAGAATGAAGATTTCTCGACATAGATTTAACAGTTCTAATCCTATTCCTAGTTTTAATTTTTTCGAAACTAACAAAAGGCTAGAACATTATCAGACTCGAAAAGATATCAAGTAGAACACTTTACTGAATAGGTTAGACATACAGAGGTTTTGGAACCCATAGGCTGCATTTATACATCTATATATTAGAGATTGAAATTATACAATCATACAAGTACATCAAGAAAAGTTCTAAGCCTAAGTACGAGTTCTGTACATATTTAGTACAAAACAGATGTTCGGTTTTTCATTATGATATGAATTCAGTTGTATTCTCTAAGGAATTTTTCTTTAATCTTTGAAGATTTATTATTAAATGTAATTTTGTAATTGATATAGAATTTCCTAATGAACAAAAAAGCGAAATTCCCATCTCTATATGACTTGAAATACATTTAAACCTATCAAACAATCCAGATATCTTTTTTTCTTTTCCTTAAGTTATTACATATCTTTGATCTTTACATGAACATGGTGACACACATTTGCGTAGTACATGTACCAATATACTTGCTAAATTCAAGCAACAGTTCATTTTTCAACAATATCATCATTATCGAATGCATTTAATAATTCTTTTATTAATCAATGTTCATTTGTATCAATTAATTCACAAGACAGTTCAAGATTAGGTTGGTATATTATATTAGCTGAATTACTTTCTACATTTCTCTCATGTCATAATGATAATAATGCAAGTGTTATACATGTTTCATTAAATGCTTTACGAACATAGAAATTGAATTATTAGAAGATTCTATTCGACATAGTGCAAGTTCTTATTTTCTTGCTAAAGTAGATAAAAGAAATTTATAATTATAATATTTTTTTTGTATATAAAATAGATTGCCCTAGCTCAACTTATAAGTGATATTGATTTTCGGATATTAACTTATCTTGAACAACAACAACAATTGAAAAAAAAAACAGTAAATTTTTGAATAGAAAAAAATTATATAGAAGAGAAAAAAATACTGTTTTTTTTCGTTTTGCTTTTCTTTAGAATCGATCATGGCTTGATCGTTGTATTGATATTATCTTCCAATGTCTTAATGATGATGATACGCGCCTTCGTCAAGCAGCTGCTTCGATTTCTGCTTAGTATCTATACTGTAGAGATGTTAACTAGGTAGCTTTTTTTTGAATGATTTCACCAGGCAGCCCAATAAATTGAACTAAGACATTGTAATCTGATACTTTGATCAGAAAACGATGCGTTCTTTGTAAGATGTAAATATAAGAGTAATGTTTACTTTTTCGTATCACAAAATTTTCAAATTTTTTTTTTATGAAGATGAAGGATAGAAGAAAATCTGACACTTTCATCATGAATTGATTCTATCGAGAACTTTATTTTTGCAACATTTGAATGCATAAATCGATTTTAAGGTTTCTTGATTACAGTTCATTTCTACCATGCCAATGGATATATAAAATCATGATTCATTACAACAATCAAATACTTCTGTAATAATATTAAATGATGAAGTACAAACACGAAGTAATATGATGTTTATCAACATTAATTTTTGATCGTTTAGCTCAAACATGAACGAGAATACAAAATGTTTGTTATTTTTGTATTTTATTAAGTTCATTATTGTTTTTTACTTTTCAGGTTGGATGTTTAGAAGATATTTGTGCTTTTTTTCAAAATGTTTTAAGACCATCCATAATTCTACAATTTTTACATGATGAACATGATAAAGTTCATTTACTGATACATTTTTTAAACATTCATTTATATGATATGATCTTATTAAATTACAACTATTACTCGATATTATTAATTTAATCTTTTCAAGTAAAGAGGAAAAAAAGATGTTTATTATGTTTGTTTTGAATTTTTTCTTCTTATTTGAAGATTTATCAAATAATGCAAACGATATGAATGATATTCAATCAGCAGAAAAATTATTTATTAAGGATAATAAAAGTTTCTTTTTTCGTCAATTTTTATTGAATATTTCGATATACTTTGATAGGCTTCCATCTCTTTCCGTTCTCGAATTATTATAAAAATATTCACAATCATCACTTTTTTTTGGGCAGAAGATAATTTTCTATAGTTCATATTTGAGTTTTCACAGCAGAAAGGAGTTTCATAGTTTTAAATCTGAAGAATATGTTTGATCACGTATCTAATTTATGGAAGAATACTTGACTTTCATATAAAATTTTCAGAACACCTGAATAAATTCATTTGTTTTTTTTTTCTTTTTAAAGAGAATGAAAAAGATTCAAATAATATTAATAACACAAATTCGATGACATCAAGCAAAGATTCATCAACAACATAAAATACAATAAATGTAGTCAAAGGTAAAAAAAATTTAATCGTACACAATTCGATGCTTTTGAAAATAATCTATCAATGATGAAATTATTCGAATATAATACATTCATCATATCACATACATAAAAGTTTATTAAATTCATCTGAAACTGATCGTCTTGGACAATTATTTTCAACAATATTCATGTTTATAAAATCTATTTCAAGTCTTATTTCAATACAAGATTTGTCAAAACATTTGGAAGGAACACTTAACTATTTTAAATCAACATTCAGTGTACGCAAAGGGTAACTTCTTTTAAATAGGAAATAATTATTGTAAAAATTTCAATTATTCATCGATTGAGCTAAAATCTTTAGGGTTTTGTATAGAGTTTGAAACTTCTACGAACAAAACTTTAGATGGAAATCTTATAATGAAGGTTTCTGAAAGGGACTTACCTAGAGAAGAAAAATTTCAATATAACAATATCATAGGAACAGAAAAATTGATTTTGTGAATATCGGCAGTCTTAACAAGAGTAGTTTATTGTGAAAGTGTCAGATCTTTTGATTTGGTTCTATGGTGAAATTCGAATATTAAATCAGCTGATTTATGTGAGCGATCTGCAAGACATGCTATTACCAAAATTATATCTTAGGATAGGAATAGCAAAAAAGTCTGAAACACTCACAAAAGTCTATCTCTATGCAAATTTTCAATTCGAAGTTTGAAAATCATGTTTTCTATTACCACAACATTCATTAACTAACAATCATTTCATTATCGTCTGGTGTAACAAAATCTTCAAATGTTTTTTCACAATTACCCTTAAATGATTCTTTAAATAATATTCATACCATAAATAAAAAAATGAATTCAGTCTATTCTGTTCTTTTTATTTTAAAGTTTTTATGAACTAAAAATTAGTCTTAAAAAATTTGCTAATACAAATGAATCTAATTTTCAAGCTGTTGTACCAGATTTACTTGCTCAACTATTTTTAATTTGTGTTAATTATAGCTTACTAAATTTTGGTGAAGTTCATTGTATTTCTAATCTTTCGTTTATTTTTAAATTGCATTTTCTTACTCATATAAACAATCAAATTCCAACGATTGAAGAAACTATGTCAGATTATGATGTATCATCACATTTTATTTATCATATTGCTGAATTTCTTGTTATTTTATCACACGATATACTTCATTCAAAACAAGTTCTTAATGTACAAGAAATTTTCGAGTAAAATAAATTATCGTTAAAATTCTTTGTTTAGCTTTAACAACATTAGAATCAGTTGTATATGATTTATTTCTTGTTCGACTTAAACTAGATAATAAAGAATAAGGAGCACAACGAATAGTGAGTGTTCAAACATTATTTAAACTTGTTTGATTTAATAAAGTAATGTGATATTACAAGAAATGGCTGCTATGCGAAAAAATAAAGTTCCTAAAAAAGTTTTATTACAGAATAGGGAAAAAAAGATGTCTCTCTATAAGGTCTTAGATATCATAAAAAGTCGAGATCTGAAAATTAATGTAATGAATTGTATTAGTTTCCCTTTGAAATTTATATTTCTGAAAAGAAAAACTTGTATGAATCAATTGGTAAGGTTATCCATTCTATTATGGAATGAAAGTAATCGTGATTCAATAATATTTTAATGAATCAACGATCTGAAAATAATTATCTTGTTAATGCCCAGAACTCGACAATGTTTAGAGAAAACAATCTTCAAATTTGTATTTGATAAAAGATACTGCAATAAAAAGTTTGAAGCAAAACTAGACATCTTTAAAGGCTTTCTAAAACGTGGATCATCAGTGGAGAACATTTGATAAAAAGGTTGAAGGAAAGAACCAATCAAATTCTAACAAATTTCCACTAAAGGAATTGAGTAAAGTCAATTTCAATAGTGCTTTCGAAGTATTTCATAAAGAAATTCTATGATATCACACTTATAAATGAATAAAGTATATGAATCGTAAAATGCATATTATATTTTTGTATTTAATAGATATTCAGCACAAAAGATCGGATGTTTAAATCCCATCATACATTTTTTGCAAGCCTGTTGAATTGAATTGTATCTGAAACAATTCAACGATTCGATGTTTACTAAATATTAATTGTCAAAAACTTTCAAATCAAAGGAAAAGAATTCTATAAGAATTTGCCAGAGTATTGTTAGAACTTCAAAAAATAAATAGGATACAATATACATTGATCCTAGTATATGTTTCATTTCTTCTTCTTATACACTTATTTAATGATTTATTATTTACTAGAACAAAGACAATTCAGTCAAATAACTAAATGCTTTCTTACACAAAACAATTTTAACATCAAGTGTTCAAAAGAGAGAAAAAAGTCGGAAAAAAAAACAAGTTCGATTCAGGAGAATGATAAATCAAAAAAGCGATTTTTGGTTGGATGCCTTTTATAGATATTTGCAAAGGTTTTTACATAATTACATTATAAATACACATAAGAATTTTTAATCTTAAGATATTTTGTTGTGTCTAAGGTAAATCATACTACTTGAACTATTCATTTATACTTAAAACACAATAAATCGAATATTGAATTAGATTGTTTTATCAATGAAAACTTTGAACACTCTTTTATGGATGATAAGAAAAAAATTAATCCATTTGATATTTGCACAAATTCAAAAGACTGAAGTTTTTCATCGTATCGCTATTTATATTTCATGTTTATATTATTGAAAAGTAAATCAAATTATACAGAGGATATAATGAACAAAAACTCTAATAATTTCAAATATTTCTGTTTTAACAAGGGAGATTTAATACAAACACAAAATTCATAATTACCAATTTTTCTACAGCAACCAGTTTTATATCCTTGACTTCTACAATGTAGTTTACATCGAAATTCATTCCGATCATTTGGTCCATTACAACCAAAACTACGAATTTCACGCATTGTATCATCAATGAGAATCTTTCAATAATCATGAGAACATTTTTTTCTCAATACTATTCTCATCTTTTTCTCTCATCATTAATTAGTGATCTGTAAATCATATTGATTTTCTTAAGTGAAACTTTTCTCAGAGATGATTATGTCTTTTATGAATGATTCTCTACCATTCGACACTAAAAAGTAAAATATCGATTAATTTGATAGAAAATCAATTGTATTGAACATATTACCATCAGATGAAGATTCGAGTTCTACTATACCCCAAACTATCATTGCAAAAGCACGTAAAAAAGTGATTACCATCACCGATTTATAATTCATTATCACTATGTAAAAGAAAAAAAGAAGAAAATCATATTTTCTTATGATGTATATCTGAACTCCATATAAAATAGTTTTATTCCATTCTACGAGAAGTTCTAAAAGAGAAGTTTTTTTTCATAGCTCAAATACAATATCTAATCGTTAGTTTTGCAATAATTTGTTAATGATTGATGGATATATAATCAACCTAACATAACAAGAATATACTTTAGAAAAAAAAATAATATGACGAGTATATATATTCTATAATGAATAAATTTTGTTTTAAATCAGAATTGTATTTAATAAGAAATTTAAAAAAATGTCTTTGTTCGAATAGACTTTATAAAGAATAATTCAAATTTGCACAGATTCTCACTTCCATTAAAACTGTTATCTACATATATGAATGAAGAATAATTTTTTTTCAAACATTTGAAAATAAGTTTAACAAATAATTATTATTATGTTCAATTAGTACGAATCATCAAAATTATGAAACTAAGAATTTTTACATAAAAGTACACTGTCAGATCTATTGATAAATAAGATTATTTTTATATATATGAAGAACAAACTATCTATCTATCTACTAGTATATTTTAGAAAGATGTTTACTATAAGCGTGGAAATCAGAAGTATCTAAAGGAGACATTTCATCTGAACATCGATGATAAACTTTCTTCATTTTTATTCTTTTGAAACAACTTTAATATAACCTTTATGATATAAACAGTGGAAAGTTTAACTTCCTGAATAGACTCAATATTTTTTATAGGATTCTAATCAAGCTATAACAGATGAGAATGAAACACGTTTTCGATGTCATTTAGATCAAAGACAGTTATTGCATCTTCTTTTTTGCAAACTTACAATTTCACAGTTATAACAGGAGTGCATAGATCAGAAAATATTTGCAATTTTAAGAAATATGAGAATGTTTAGATTTCCTGATATGTGCCCAATACAGATCAAGTTTCTTGTCTACGTTACTGGGGAAAATTTTTATGGAGAAGTAAAAATATCCCAAAAAAACTAAGATATTATATTGTAAGTTTGTTCACTGAGGAAAATATTTCAATAGATATGTAATTTAGAGAGATTCTAGTTAAACTGGTTTACACTTTCTGTACAGTTTTTCTTTACTTATAATGAATGACCCCATTTCATAAAATTGCAACCGATAGGTTTTGTGAAACACGATCTGAAAGGAGTGTTGAAATGTTTACGGGTAGAAATTTGACCCCCCCCCCCCCTCACCCACAGACCATGACAGACAGGTTTTGGACCCATCACAGACGATGACAAACAGAGTTGGAGCCCATCACAGAACCTGACAGAGCAACTGTAGTTCTAAAGTATCAGATAAATGGTTAACGACAAATGTATCGCAAAGAAATGGAACAAAACGATTTCCATTTAACTAGTAACAATAGATCCATCGTGTTTCACATTTTTAATCCCGTAAGGGATTGCGCTAAGAGCTTTTTTTTCCTTGCGAGTCTCAGTACTGATCAAAGCCAATTAGATCGAATCAAATTGGCTGATAGACTCAGCATGAGCCGCTCTTCACTTTTCTCATTTTATAATAGTTTAATAAACCTATTGATTTATCATATCAACCTTTGAATCACTGAAAAAATTAAGTAAACCTTCTGCTTAACTATAATAGTGCTTTTGTAAAACATAATAATTAATGAATGTAGAAGTATATGGTGGGAACATTGAGCCTATCTTCCATAGCCTGTCCTGCAGACGACTATGACAAATATGCAGATGTCTTTTTAATCTATTGACAAACTCTAACAAATATATCGTTATGCCTGTTTCGGTTTGCAATTACGTAGTGTTTTTTTGCGACATGTTGGTTTTCGTTCCATCATGTTTAATATTTTAGGCTCATTAAGATTGTGCTGAAAACTTTTCCTCCACTATATATTTTCATAAGTTTTCTGTCTCTTGACAACCATCGATGGATAGAAAATTTTATATTAGCTCTGTACACAAATGTCCAAGTGGTCATTCGATAGGCATTTCGACCTGTCGATTTGAGGGTATCGTGCCCATCGAAAATTCATATCGAGAGCTCGGATTCTCACTTTCCGATGGGTCGAGGCCTCGGTGATGGGCCAAGAAATGAATGCTTTTTCGACCGCTCGAATGACTTCAACCGAGAGTTCAAAATAAAAGACTTTTTGATAGGTGTCTCAGTTTCGACTGGTCGAAAACTATCGAATACGTGCAAAGAGGCAGATTAGAACAGGGTTAGTTACGGTGGCAAGTCGTCGAATATCTAAACTAAATATGAACTGTTCTTCTTTGTCTAAAATTGTCTTATCATTTTTTTAAAAATTTTTAAAACAAAAATACTTAGCGATGAAATTTCCTTTAAAATAATTTAAAACTAAACTTCAGAAACTTAGTAATTTTTTTTAAATTGATCAATCTGTTTTAACCATTTTATTATGAATTTAAATTTTTGAAATTCACTTTTTTTAGATAAGATAATTTTTTTAAAGCTAAATTAATCATCTTTGTTAGGATTTAAAAGTCGCAAACCCACCGACAGGTATTTTTGGAAAACAACAAGAAGAAACATTAAGTGTTTCAGAAAAAAATAGTATTTGTTTCTAAGACTGATAGGATATTCTTTACGATTATACTCTTTTGATTTTTTATCTCTTTGATTTAATTTTTTCTCCAGAAAATTACAAGGGTTACTAAAAAATCTATGCAATATAGTTTACATTTAAGATAACCTAGTGAATATAACACTTATGAGGCTTGTTTTAAACAAGCTTTGCCAACTCAAAAGAACCTGAAAGTCTTGAAATTATTGTCTTTTTTGCTCGAGTACTCGGAATTTCGACAAGTATCGATGGATCGAAAAGTCGTCGAGGAGTCGAACCTAGATCTTCGATGGGATAGCTTTCGAGTACTCGACATTCGATGGCTATCGAGGGCTCGAGAATGATAACAGAACGAGAAAAAAAATAGATTTCACATCTTCGACCAGTCACCGAGCCCATCGCATTCATTTTATTATCCGCTTGGGTGAAATGTTCATCAGACATAAAAATTCTGAATAAACTATATACATATACTCTCCTTTTCATAATAGTTTGGCTTGGTTATCTCATATGTCTTCGCTAAGGATCGGTTATAAATAACACGAAATGAAGACAAATATATAATAAATTACAATGAGGAACAATGATTCTGTTTTCGTTTCGATAATGTAACTTGATATCGAAGTGAGTTGATATAATGTATTAAGCATTTTAGTGAATGCTTCCTCATATACATAATCATTAGCATCAGTAAATTGAAGTTGTTTTATGAAAAGAAACACTTTTAGGATCAATTTGCTGAAACAAAACAAAATGCAAAAACTCGAAAAAATCTATATTGGTCGTTAAAAAAAAATTCTCTCAATCAAAGGGTAAGCAATCAAACACCGAAAGGAATAAGTAAATCTAGATTTGGCTTATACAGAGGAAAAGAGAGTTCTTTCATTGTTATATAATAAAATGCATCTACATACTGCATTAAATTTAATTCAAGTTTATCTATATCTATATAGTAAATCAATCTATCGATTCGGAGGTATTCAAAAGCTTCAAAGCGAAATTCCCGTACATATTAGAACTGTGGTATCATGAAAACAAAATTTTTATCTTATTGATCGATGAAGATAATAGTTTTTCAATTGGTATAAATAACGCTGATATAAATATCATCTCTTTGAAGAAAGACACAAATATAAAGAAAAGAAGTATAATAATTTGCAATATCATCCGAATTCTATTTCAATCTGCAGATCTATATTGAAGTTGATAGTCTCTAAATTTGATCTGATCAATATCACAACGTTTGAATTATAAAACTGCAATATATTGTTTTCCAGTTAAGTTTTGCACAATCAGTTTTCATGTCAATAAGCGTATCAGGATATATAGCAGAATAATAGATCGTAAAATGTATTATTACGTATAACTGTATAGCTGATCATCTAATTGAAGTAGCAAACACTTGTCATGCCAATAAAATAACTCGATCTATTTATCAACTAAAAGGATGCAAAACATCAGCAGATCGAATAAGTACATGGAAAGAGATGTATTCGTAAAAATCGATGCATATCAATCTACTTCCTCTTAAATTATCTATCTTACAATAAACGAATAGAAACTAACTTTTTTTTTTAAATGTAATATAATCCATTGTTGACCTAGTAGATTTCACACGTAAAAGAATCGATACTATTTGAAAAAGTGAAAAATACAGAGAATCGAAGCTCTACTATGAATTGAAGTTTAATAAAAGTATCGTCACTAAGCCGATAATGAACAGAGTTACACTTGATTTAATGCGATTTTTTGTAAGAAATCCTCCACTTAACTATCCATTTGATGAAAGGAGAGAAAAAGTTTGAACCTATCCTAGGAAAAAATAAATCAACAATAGATTTGAACCTACTCAAATCTTGTTGTTTCACCACCTATATTTTTTACATAGTAATTCGATTTAATTTCTATTTATCAATTTCTAAGACGAGAAAGTTCTCAAAAAATAACTTTCTTGAATTCACTTTAAAATACCATTATTATCAAATATTACAAACCAAAATAAACAGGCAATCATCAATCAGATTTTGGTAAGATTTTCTAATTAAATTCTTCTTTCAAAAATTATCAATCAAACAGACTTAACTATATTTGAATAATAATAACTAATCTACAAAGGATAATTAATCGGTAAATGTTTGTCAAATGTATTTAGCAGAGAATTCAATGCTTATTTAATAAAGAAACATATTTGAAAATCAAACAAGACATTACATCAATAGATATAGATATATTGATAAGTATGAAATGAATTCTTTTTCACTTACTGATATTGAACGAATTTTTATGAACAATGAAAATGAAATGAATACTTGGGGAATAAATGAAGATATACACGAAAAATATTTCAATATATGAACCATAAATGAAGAAAGAGTACTAATTAAGTAGAACTCCTACGTTTTATTAAAAAATCAAACCTAATTTAGTTTGATCTAAATATAGACGTACTGAAATATATCTGTCTCTCTATGATTTGTTGTTATGCTAGCATTTGCATGTTCTCGTTAATTTATATAATAATGAAAAATAAAATACTTTTTCTTTCTATTCAAAATTTTACTTTTCAATCATCGTTTAAGATAATAGTAGACAAATGAATCAATAGGAAAATATTATATTTGTATATTAGTCATGTAAAACAATTATTTCTTGATACTTTCATAGTTTTTCATTGAGATATGTTAACATTATTTATTAATCGAGTTGAAAGGTTATCTAAAATATTGGTAATTTGATAAGAATTCATGACATTGTCTCGACTGTCATGAGTTAGAAAAAAAAATGTTTTCAAAGTCATTATTTATTTTTTGAAATCAACTGCACACCTTGCAGATCGATTACAATATCAATAATAATACAACATACTTTTGTTTTCATAACTATAGTCTTCTGTCTTATTAATGACAAAGTGTATATACTTTCAAATGTTAAGAAATAAAAAAATATCACTTTGATCATAAATACTTTGCATTTGTATTTCAATAAAAAAAACACAATTAAAAACATTGTTTTAGATTAGAAAATAAATACATAATTAACATGATTATTTCGATGTTACAAATGTATCGTTTATTTATTTTTTTTAAGATAGAACTAATACGGCTAACTTGAATTTAAACAAGTTTATGCTTAAGAAAAACTCTAAATGAATTGATCGATAAAAATATTTTTAAATTAAAAATAAAAATTTTCA